GTATTGTCGCATCTACCGCTCGCTTGTTTTTCATCACTGGATATTCTTCTACTTATATTATGAGAAGTGAATGATTTATTGAAAAATTAATATCTAAACAAATCAGATCATTTAGACAGTTCACACTTAATAGGTTTCACAAAGTTTCATCGTATAAATAGTCCGTAGTTATGTTCCATGATCGATAAAACATGAGAAAGTTCACTTCATAGTTTTCTATAAGAACCAGTTAGAATGATCATAGTTCAACTATATAGCTCAATAGTTAATCATCGATATAAATAAACGAAATAAAGTTAGATCTTGAGAATGACGACAGTATTGTAAACTCTTTCTATCATTGAATTATTTTTCTGAATATTCAAAAAAATCTTGAGAAAATAATTTTAGTTATTCATATTAAATAATCTAATGATAGAATTGTTAAATAATTTGAAATGATAGTCAAACAATTCAAATATATAGTTTTGGAGATGATACAATATTTATCATAGTATTTCTGATCAAGTAATTTTCATAAGTTAAGCAGCTGATTTAATTCATTTTTCGAAGAAAAAACGAGTAGATGACATAAAAAGAGAAGGAGAAAATTGTCATAACAGAAATCATAAAATGATGTGATTTCTAATACTTGAAAAGTTCTAATGAGATCGAATCATCGTAGACTGGCAAATGTTACAGACAGCAGGGGAGCGGCAGTGCTGACTTTTACAGTGGACTTCTGGATATCATCGAAAGTGTGATTTGAATAGTTATATGCCAGGTTTTTAACGAGTGTAAAATTAAAATTTTGGTTGATACAAAAGAAACCCAGAAAGGAATTTCATCGAGTATTTATATTAGAAAATAATTTAAGTATTGTAAATTCATTCAACTTTGAAATGTAATTACAATAATCTTGAGGAGTAAAATTATTTAAGGTGCAGGCAATTCAAACTTTTAGTAAAAATTTTTTTTTCGAGTTTTTTTACATCATTTGATATAGCTTGAGCTGCTGATAACGAAAAACTACTTTTTAGTCTTAGCAAATACTTCCTTCCAATCGAAAAATACGAAATAATCGAAAGGTGTCGTTTTTCGAGAAAAACACATCTTTTTCGAAATATACAAAATTTTCTACTTCGCTCTTTTCTCCAGCTTCTGAAAATAATTTTTTCAGATTCAGCATCAAAAACTGAATATAAAAAAGCTGTTCAATTGATACCAGACCCAAAACTCTATTGGTCGTGGCGCTTCGAATCTCGTCGAGTCCACTAGGTATAGGCCGATTTTGTAAAGCTATCTAGTGTTTCTACATAAGCGATGAAGGCAAATATTTTATCTTATTCGACTCATTATACCACCAGTCAAAAAGAATCGCGTCGATTCACTAAGGCTGTTGCCTGTAAGTCGAACGAGTTAGAAAGCTGAAATATTGTAAGCTGGATATTGTCTGTCGGCGCTTCCCTCGAAAGTTATGGGGGGTTTTCTGGTTTTCCTAGCGAAAACTGGTTAAAACAGAGATATTCAGAACGTTGTCCAGTAAAGTAGTGGGGAGGTTTTGTCGCTTCTTTCTGTACAAACGTTTGATTGCAGTATTAGTAAGATAGTTTGCCGCTTGGTTAACGATCAGTCTCGTCAGTGAACGTGTTCTCCCTTCTGCGCCGCAGAGACCTCTCACTTCAAGAAGGCTTTTTTCTTTTTTTTCATTTTTGCCTCAAAGGATATTCAAAGCATACATGTACAGACTAAATTAAACATTTGTAAGCCAATACAGGTAAAAACAAAACAAACCGAAACAAGAAACGAGTAAAAAAATCAGTGAATGTGATAATCATCAAACAAGTGTGGAAAACACAAAACTTTACTTGTTTCGGAGTGTTTTTGTTTGAAGAGGAAGAAAAATCATGTTTTATTTTCTTGATCAGTATATAAACCTGATGATATTTTACTTCTGACGAACAGATGCATCGGTAGATTTGAACGTAAAAACATGCATCTGTGAAAATTGAATTAAACGTGAAAACATGCTGGACAGTGTTGTGGGTAAGTCGGTTTTCTTGGAAAATGAACTCTTAGTTGTGTTGGGTATAAAATAATTAATTTGCATTTTTTGCAGGGGATCCTATTTTAATCACTTTTTTTAAGCTTTACTTTGCAGTTTTAATGCAAGTTTAGTATCACCATCATCAACTTTCAATTTTTCTACTGAATCTCTAAATATTTCATAGCAACTTGTTGGCATAACACTACAAGACAAGCAACATTCAGTTATGACGCTCACAGTCTCTTTGCGGTAACAAGTTTTTCACTGAAAATGACTCGTTTCTCATGCCATGAAAAACGAGTCATTTTCAGCGAAAAACTCTTATTCATTGATTATCAATAGCTCTGTTTCAAGAACATATTGACTATGGATAATAGCAGCCTTTTAACCATTTTTATTTCTGTTTTACACACGTTATCTCTCACTACCATGGTCCGAAGAGAAAGCCGATTTTTCTCTATTTCAGTCAACATGTCAATGGGAGCAGCACAGTTATTCTTTCTCCTTGAATTAAATCATGCACTTCATCTATTAAACATATATTTTAGACATTATTTGTCACACAAAACCAACAAGGTTTTCAAAAGAAATTTTTATGGAGTTCATACTTACAATTACCAGAAGAAATTCCTTTAATGCAAATACTACAAAAATGTATACCATAGGAACTTTTCACATTGTGTTTAGTGGGCAATCGTTTCTGTAGTAAACGTAATACTAACAATGCACCTGTACAGAATTCAATGATAATAAATTTTTATTAGTGATATTTCGACTTTTACAGTCATTGTCAAACAATACACAAAAGAAGTAAAATGATTTTACTTCATGTGTGTATGCGTACTTCTTTTATGTATTGTTTGACAATGACTGTAAAAGTCGAAATATCATTATATTTTTAAATTAAAAATAAAAATTTATTATCATGGAATTTTGTACAGCTGCATTGTTAGTATTACGTTAACCTTTCACATACTTGAAATATCTTACCATTTATCTTCTTGGTTTTGACAGATATTTGGCACAGTTTCTGCCTATGCGTAATAGTATTTAATTATATTGGGATGATCTAACATGGCCAACATACGTATTTCTTGCAAAACACGATCTGCTCCTTCTACTCTATAATATTTCGAAGACAGAAAATTTTCTACGATAAGAATTTAATTTTCTAAGAATATAAAACCATTTTCGAGTTTTCCCCTTCTACAAAACTACGTATAAAAAACTTAATTTGAAATTTTTTGACGTAGAAAATGATCTTTAAATTCGCAGATGACGAGCAGAATCATTAGAGAGCTACCTATGCATCTTATAAAATTATCTCATTTCTTTGCTTGAAAGATAAAAAACTTTTTTTGACTTCATTAACCGTCATACTTGTGGAGAAAAAGTCAAGGATCGATTTTGGAAAATATTAATTCGCTGCTGAGAAAATGAATTTTTTCGAAGCCCATGACAAAAACCGAGGAATTGCGTACATATTTGCCATTTGGCTCCTAAATTTCAGTTTCATGAAAAATTAAGGTCATTTTCGAAATCAGCATCAAAAGCTTAGTCTAATGACATGTGGTTGAGATGTTTTAGACGAATTTGCTTTTTTTAAAGAAAATATTATGCATGAGATGAGCGAGATTGTAGAGATATTTTCTTATTCTTATTTTTCTCCTTGTCGTGTTGTATGATTCATTTTTGCATATATCATACTACACGAACACGTGTTATTTCTTTTATAAATATATAATAATTCTTTTTCTATGGTATAATTTTAAAGTGTTGTTATTAATTTTAGATTTTGATTGTTCTAATCTTTGTTTGTTCTACAGCATTTGTTTTTATTGTCAACTACTGATGAAGATTTTCATTAATCGAAACGTTTAGTTAAGCAATATAAATAAACTACGAAGTAAAAAGGAAGAAATAAAAAAATTATTAAATATTATCAACTTCGTACTTAGTAAACAGAAAAAAACGCAAGCGATGTATTAATAATACATTACTTGTATATTCTAACAAAATTTCACCAAACATTCATTCAAAATGAATTCAAATCTTTGTGAACAGCCTATAAGACGAGCAGACTTGTATGGCTCGACGGACTATTATAGATATGGCATTTTGTTAACATCTTTTCGGAACAGAACTATCCTGTTTGGTTGGTCATGAGACCAGTGAAAATCGGTTTTCTGTAGACTTCGATATCAAACCCTTTAATATATTTTGTTATTAAAATCTCATGAATTGGCAATGAGCTACTGATGTTTTCTTCCCGAAATGTAGCTTGATTGATAAATGTAAATTGCTTAAATTTAGTAGCAGTAAAATATTTTACAGCATTAGTAGCCACCATAGGGGAATAGAAGATGGCTTCGTTTGTCTTCGTAAAATTTGTACTTTTAGCGTTCGAGCTATGTCAAAAAACTTCTGAACATGTTTACTCGAACATGACGAGCTTTGCACCTTTTTTCTTTCCTTTTCTTTTTTAGAAATATGAGCATATTTTAAAAACGAACTATTCCCTCGAAATCTTTTTCAATGATCGACAGAGATAGAATATGTTGCGCCCACAGTGCTGCAGTTTCATAAATCGATATACAATAAAAAAAACAAAAAAGCTCACGTTAACTGTGACATAAATACTTGTGTATGGTTTGCTTCGCTTATTGATCTTATATAATTCGAGCATGAAGTTGATTGAACTGTTTCAACAGTTCTTAAGTTTGCTAAATATTTGTTGAATTGTTTATGCCTCCCCAATAACGTTTGAACTATTATTCAGATTTAATGACAATGGTAAAACTGTAAATGCTTCCAAACGAAATCGAAGAACAAAACAACTAAAACACAGTCAAAAGGAAAAATAATATAATATATCAATCGATTATAATACTAACTTTTCACAAGCATTCGAATGAAGAAATTGTCCAGAAAATATTTCTTTAAACGTTGAATTTATTTGATTATAATGCATCAATCATGTTAAATCAATATATTGCATAATAGACTTTATGAAGATGCCAACGTTTGTTCTCGTTGTATAGGATAACTAAAACAAAAAAAATTTATATAAAATTCAGCATGCAAATAAAATTTTCGAAAAAAAATGATTGTAATTATCATTCTCAATACCTGTGATGCAATCTGAGATAATATCTTATTCAAATATTCAAATGAATAATTGAGAAATGTTTTAGTTTGAACTTGTTCAGAAACGCTTAACAGATAAAAAAGGAATAAACATAAAATAAACCTATAACATCTGCAAACATTCTTTTCTTACTTCGATGAGTATGTTACTTGTTTTCCAGCTGTTACATTATTGAAAATATCAATCATAATCTGAAATAATTCGCATATGTCTATATTTAAATTTTTAGTGAATGCATTTGAACGGTTTAAACACAATAAACTGAAAAACAGTCTGTTGTATAATTTTTTTTTGCTGAATATTCGTTTCTCAATGATACAATTAATTTACTAAATGTTGTAAAAAGTGCGTCATACTCGGGTTTTGAAGCCTAAAAAGAAGAAACAGAATTGTTTAAACTGTTCGTTAAAATATTCTACTTCAATTCGACTAAATGAATAAATACTTTTACGATATAAGCTTTTTTTGATAGAAAAGAGCAATACATCATTAGAAAACACCCTGTTTTACAAACTATTGTATCCTTACTTTGCACTTAGTCTTTAATAAATCAACAAAACCAATCACTGATGCTAATGCTAGCAGTTCAATGAACATGTTCTTCCATTAATGTTATATCTTCCTAATCGATGACGTGAGAAAATGCCCTGTAAAGTGTAAATTAATAATCTTTCTTATAATTAAGAGAAAATTCAAAAGAAAAATACTTACTCGTAATACATTGGCATTTGTTGGTTTTGTCTATTCTATTTCGACCATTATTTGTTCTACTTGCTGGCGTATAACAAGAATGTGCTTGAGAAGAAATTATTGCTGTAATTGAATAGCTGTTTTGTTTTAGTGAAAGATATTGAAGGACGTTGCATATAAGATGCTAGTTTTTGTAATTTCTTTTTTTGCTTAATGTAAGTAATGCCGAAAAGACTATTCGTGAAATATGTAAAATATATTTTACCTAGCTTTTCAAATATGGCCAAATTGTATGCAATTTGTTTTCCATTTATAATGTGCCAGTGAGTTGAACAGGTAAGAATAGAAACAGCACAACTAGTATATGGTGATAGATGTATGTAAGTACACAAACAAAGCTGAGTATGGCACAATCAAATATCAATATCTCAAATCGATCTCATTTACTGACAGATATTAAAGAAACATTTTAAAATACAATGTCGCATAACAGTATACTAATTTACACGCTGCACGTCAACAGATATTTTGTCACATTGTCGCTAACCATGTAACATACGAAATCCAGAATAGCGCCCATTGCAAGAAGTATCACAACAGATATCTTTCAATCTAAAACAAAAACAGATACTCGAATAACGAGGAGTGTATATGTGTTCCTAGTAAAAAGGTTAGACAGTTCTTAAAATGATCAGACTAAGATCATGTAAGATCTTACATTTTAAGATCTTATTTATCCGTAACAAATGAACGTCTATCAAGTAATTTTGGCTTTGTTTTTCTCTGATATTCTGATTGTTTCTGAAATTCATTGGCTTTTGCCAAATATATTCATTTATGGTTTTTTGAAGTTCTAATGCATGCATCATGAATAGATTTTTTATTAATAATATATACTGAAAACAACATATATGTAACTTTATGCATAAAAAGACAACGGCTTACGAATCATAAGCCCAGACTTTATTGAAATGGGCTTGAGCATCAGTCACAAATGTTTCATGTTTAGTGAATATACCACATTCAAAATTGTTTTCGGCTGAAGACTGACTTAAATTGTAAGAGCCTAAAAAAATCATTTTTTGATCACATACTAGCATTTTCTCATGAACACATCCATAACGTCCAGCACCGTTAACAAAACGATGTTTAATGTTTGATAATGATGTTAATTCGAAAAATTGTTTGTAAACATTTTTTGTTCCATCGTGTGTTGTCAGTATACGTATTTTAACATTTTGATTATTTTTTGCAAATTCATATAGATAATTAAGAAATAATTCATCATTGAATATGAAAAATGCTAAATCCACGCATTTAACAGCTACTTCAACCATCCTTATTAATACTGGCAATGGGTGGCAACTATTATCATTTGAATCTTGAGGATCTGTATAAAGAAATGATAAATCACTCTTCAATATTTTATCTTTATCCACAACCAATGAACGTCTATTAAGTAATTTTGGTTTTGTTTTTCTCTGATACGCTGATTCTTTTTGAAATTCATTGACTTTTGTTAATATATATTCATTTATGGGTTCCTGCATTTCTAATGCATGCTCTCTTAACTGTTCAAAATCATCTAAACTGAGGTCATCACCATTTTCATCAGGATTATGGTCATTGCCAACGTTCGCATTATTACCACCATTCTGACGAAGATAATCGATGAAACTATAATTATAACGTGGTGTTGAATAGAATGACCGGTTTAATATCAGGTTATTTGTTAAACATAAATTAAAATAACGTTTAGCCATGGTTTTAAAATGTTTTGATACAAACATCTTTAATAGAATATTTCGTTCGATAGTTAATGAGCTAAGAAAAAGAAATTAACGAAGATTCACTAGTTACAAACATGCCTAGTTAGAAAAAAATTAAGTAGTAGACCAGAAAGTGGCTTAAAATCTGATCTTAAACGAGGCTCTAGAGAAATTGTAACTCTCTACTGTTCAAAACCTACTGCAGTTTGTGCGCTGCTCCATCATATTGAATTTTAAACTGCGTAATAGTATTAGGAATCATAAATGATTGAAGGAAAGGATAGTTAAGCAGAATAGATATAAAATGATGATGGTATCGTAGTAGACTGATCATTTATCGCCCTCAATCAAAGAGAAAAATATTAGATTGATAGTAAAATCATGCTTAGTAAAAACTGTTGTTTGGAAGAGATCCCATGAAAAAATGAAAATTTTGTAGAAAACTTTTGAAAAACTCATCGATTTTTCCTCCCACAAAACGAAAGATACTTTAGACTAGAAGCGAAAACTTTAAACGACAGAATGTAAAATAAAATATCCGGTCGAGATTCCGATTTCAAACTTTTTAACCCGACGTGATCAGAAACAGATTTAGTGCTGACTTTTACGATAAAACTTCTTGCTCGCTTGACTTTAGTCTAGGGTCTTACAAAATGGTTCTTTGTCTGTCTGTATATGTATGTATCTGTGCGCAGAATACCGAAAAATGACTGTTAGATATTCCACGGATAAGCCAATCACAAGAGAGAAAAATAAAAATTATTTTCTGCAAGACAGAAAATATCTTAGGAAGAAAATATCTTATCCATTACACCTTTTAAACATAAAAAATGGTGTAATGGTCATATGAACTTAAGTTCAACATATTTTAATGTTTAAAAAGTCATTTGTGCTCATTAAAATACGATTTAACATGGAAAAAATTTTAACATGAAATATTTTATTTTTCCAATTTCTAAGAAAAATCTTACACTATCATCTTACAAGATCTTACAAAGTCTTGTAAGATTCGTACCGTATGTTTTGTAAGATTCCTCGTGCAAGAATCTTACAAGATTTTCGCTTCTATCTTATACCAGGAATCTTACAAGATTCTTACTTCACAATCTTATAAGATCCTAGACGAAGAATCTTATGAAATCGTAATTGCAAGGAAAAGAGAAAAAGATTCGCCACATCCCATTTTATAGAGAAACGTTTGCTCTACAGAACTCAGTTGTGAGAAAAATTTAATATGTCATACTCTTCGTACAGTCTATTTGCGAAAAAAGCAAAAAGCGTCGGTTTTTAGCAGGTGGATACCTATCTACATTCATTCGTTTTCTCTCTCGTTCATATACATCTATGATTCTCTTCCCTTGTTGCTATTTTTCCGTAGATATATATACATGTGTTTTGCTCATTTTTAAAAAGAAACCTTCTAGACGCCGTGGCCTATTGTTCACCCAGTCATTTGTTATCGTTTGTATGTGTATTTGCATTTCGTATAAAATTTTACCAAAAGGGATTCAGCTTCGACCAACGATCTGTTCTCATTATTGGCCTCAAATTTAGTGAGACATCGCTCACAGACACCAAACTTCGAAATGTAGCGCGTCGATACTACCGACTTGCGGGTTGGATATCGAGAAGCCCGATCAACTTCTTTTTGACAACTTTTACTCATTGTAGCAGTATGCAATGCACAAAAATAGAAGAAGAAAGTTAAGAAAAGCCGAAGAAACATGAATAAACCGTAACTAATTACTATGTGTCCTTAAATGCACGCATACTGCCCATTTACTTGTTGAATACATAGCTTGATTTTCCTTGAAGGCAATCTTGAAGCCTCATTACTTGACAGCAAAAGATCTGTTCTGTTTGTATTTTTGCAATTTATAGGAAAAAATATTAAAATTAATTGTTTTTTTTTTGTTGCTAAATCTGTAAAAGACCGCTGAAAATCGGCCGATTGGAAAGTTCAACCAGATCCGGTCGGTTGATACCGTGTACCTATGCGATTCCAATTCTATGGAGAGGAGAAGGTCAATGTCAATGAAGGTTGCAGAAATCGGAATAGGGAGTAGGGATTAAAACCGTTCTTGATTCTTTTTCTGACAAAGATTTTTGGGGCATTCAAAGTAATTGTTTGCGGAGAGAAAATAATGTTTTCTACCGAAGATTTTAAGATCTCCCGGTTAAAATATCTATCTCGATAACCACACGTCTGATCTGAGCGAAAATTTCAGAAAATGTTGGATATGTTCGAGAACAGTTGTGGTATAATTTGTGTGGCTCCACCTATAATCGTTTATGAGATGTCACATGTATGAAAATGTGGTATCAAGTGTCCGGGGGGATTTTTCTAAGAAAGCAGCTGGACAGCTCGACCTGATTTTTATGTACGTGCACATGGCTGTCAAATTCAGCAAGTTTGAAAGCGTTAAAACGATACCCATAATCATAAATTTCAGTCTATTGAATTCTTAATCAACCAAATTTTTCAATTCTGGTCGTTGTTTAATATGAACACCGATGCTATTCACTACTATAGTAATTTGTTGACCGTTTTCTACAATATGTTTAAAGTAAAGAGATGATTTATGAGCTCATTGCCAACCTGATGA